ATAGATAGATAGATAGATAGATAGATAGATAGATAGATAGATAGATAGATAGATAGATAGATAGATAGATAGATAGATAGATAGATAGATAGATAGATGTTCTGTATAAATGTAGATAAATGTGTTTGTGAAGCTGAGAGCATGCACCGATGGCAATGCATTGTCTGGGATTGGACTGTTAGTGCGCATTCCTGCAAATGCATGTGTATATTTGTGTGAATAACAGTGTTGGTGCAGCATGCACTCCAGCCGGTAACACATGGCTTTGCTGCCACCACTCTGGCTCGTGTTGTGAGTGCCCCTGCAGGCTGGCAGAGAGGGGAGACCCTCTCTGTGGCTCACCCAGGCGGAGAGGGGCTTCCTGCACATCTTTTGTCACACCATTTGGGCTCTTGTGTCTGTGGCTGCCCTGCTCCTCCGGACCCACTTGGCAGCCACTGTGCAGACGGACATCTGCTCTTTCCAACCTCCCGGTGAATAGAGAAAACAACCAACAGACCCTGCTGTCTTACTCTATGCTCTATGCTCTCTGCACCTTTGCTAAGCAATCCATTTACACAGTGCGCTCTATCTATCTTGTAAAATATATACATATATTGTATATATTTTTATTTTTGTTTTCCTGATTAATTAATCTATTTTTAATAATAATAATAATAATAACCACAGTAATAAGACTATACGCTGTCTTAGCCACACTGCTCTCCTAATTGCTGGTGAGCCACAAGTGATTATGCTTTTCTCAAAAAAAAAAATCCTTAATACCACTGCGGTCAGATTATTGAGCTGCTTTGTAAACCTTCACATTAAAGTACACTTCTGCATCTATGGCCTGACTCCCTTTTCCCGGTTCTCTAAGCAGAGCGATTCTGGAGCACGCAATATTGAACACACTTTGTTCATGCTCAGCGGCCCAGAATAACTCGGTCATTATGGTGGCGAAAGGGACAGGTTTTGAGTTTGATTTCATGATGGTAATATAGCCCATGTGTGTCGAAGAAGAAAGCCTTCAATGGGGACATCTGTTCAATGCGGCTTACTGTTACAGCCGTGCGATAGGAACAACCTGTGCGCACCATATGAACCGGGACCGACCCTCTCACTCTTACTGAACGCAACAGGCAACAAAAGATTTTTTTCCCTTCTTTTTTTGGAGAAGAAGTGACCTAAGAATACATTAGATCGTTTGGGTTTAATATCTCGCCAGCCTCTGTGGCTTCAGGAACTAGATGCTTTAGTCGGGGAGTTATCACACTGACCTCTGACATCTGTCTTGCTGGTATGATCACTGGGTAATTTGTCACCAGAGGCCAACACGTCCCCTGTCCATAATTTGCAGTGCAAATGCGCAAAAATCGCCCATTATAATACATGAGCATTATTTTGAGAATAAGAAAGGAGGAAACCGATCATCTCACTCACGAGGTTCAACTGTTTTACAAATATAAACGTGAATTACACGTACATATAATATGCGTTCGGGTACATGAGAGGTAAACGCGTAGGGGCAGTGGTTGTTTTTTTTCCCTCTCAAAGTTATTCCTAATTGAATTGCCAGTGAAACATTTATTTGGCAAGGTCCACAATCTCACCGGCAGCGGTGGATGTTGTGTTTTCTCTGCTGAGAGCGAAACGTGGAGGGTCAATCAATGCACTGCAGAGCGGAGAAGCACGGTATGTAGGTTTTATTTCTCCTCGTCACATTTTATTCGCCTCGACCACGATCACACAATATTCGGATGATTTTTTTTCTCTAAAGCTGGTGTGATTGGTTAGGTTGAGGAAGATAAAAAAAATAATAGTAATAATAATGAATGACCAAACCCCCCTGATACGGCTAATGTGTTACCTCCAACGTCCAATTAGTTAAGATGTCTGCATTTGATATTTTTAATCGCTACTTTCATATAAATTAACGATTAGAATAAATATTTTTACGTGTTATTTATCGCCACACATGTCGCCAGGAATATTAATTAACGATTTTCGCCTTCAATGTGAGAAAAAGCATTAACACAACTTAAACCTGGGATAGATGCTACGCGTAATAAGTTACAGAAATATGGCCGAATTACCTCTAAATGTTGGCAAAGCTTGGCAACTAAATAACACTCTGTGGGATTATTAAGTAAGACGCAACATATGTACATTTTGCTGATGGGTTATACGAGGTGAAGCAACATTATGAATAATTGTAACAATTTTAAATCCTTCTTTAAAAAAAGAAGAAGAAAAAACACCTAAAAGTAAATCCAAAAAAAAGAAAAAGCTGTTGTCCAATCCTAGAAACACAAGAATTAATCAGGGAGTCCATCTATCACACTGTGTAATAAAGGAAGCGACATGGGTTAGGCAGATGATTTGATGAATAATCCCTGGTCGTTTTAATTAACTTTTCCCTGTCCTGTAATGACCAAGCTGGTCAACAGACCCGGTCAATAAGCATGTTAATATCAAACAAATAAAACTGAGGATGATTAAAAACCTCCTGCGTTATTAAATTTGAAATTCAAATGAAATTTATGCTTCCCGTGCACACTGCATGCTAATAGCTCCAACAGAGTCCAGGGTTCAACACACATTTTCCCTACAGGTTCTTATTATGTAACATGAGCTTCCTGTATAGATTTTTACAAAATGTCAGCGGGTAAAGTAATGAACCTATTCAGTGCAACCTGCGTTATTTTACGCACGGAGCGCCATCGCTTACTTTAATAAATAATTTAAATTAACTACAATACAGAAATTCTCAGTATCTCCTAAAATAAATCTACAATTCTGTTTTAGTTGTTAATAGAAAGGCAGCAGACTTTCTGAAGTCAGGATCCCCACAGGTCTTTATTTTAAACTAACACAGCCATGATAAAATGAACCATCCCTCCCGTGAACGATGTGCAGTTTTAATCAAAACTGTCAAGATAATTGAACACAATTACAGTAAATGCGAAAGTTGGAGACGATCTAATAGAGGTCCGAGGCCAGAACAATGCACCCTTTATATCTTCTGTAATAGTTTGTGTATATTAACTCTTAAGAAGTTAAAACATGTTGAATCCCGCGGGGGCTAAATTGCACTAGAGTGCACGGTAATTGTCTGATATGAGAAAGATGGAGAAAACTGTGGAGAGGTCCTTGTAAAACAAGCACTTAAAGCTGCAGTGAAATCTGTAAAACACAGACCGAGGACAGAGTGAAGTCGGTCAACTTTTACGCACAAGTACATTTGCGGGAAAAGAAAAAGCAGAAAACTTTTTTTTAAGCTTGCGCTTCAGAACGCGAAAGGCTTCTGAAAAATGGAAAAGAAAGAGGAGTTTGAACGCACTTGGTCTACTACATCGCGGTGTTTGTTGCCTCTTGGTGGAGGCGGCGGAGGCGATGGCGAATAATTTGCCAAGCTTTTTATTTACTACGCAGCATCCCACATCGCCAGACACGGGTCATCATTCCTCCTTCTTTAAATTTATGGAATGTGATGTTCTGTAAAAATTTCAGTAAGTGGCCCCCTAATACCTCCTTCCCAATTCACTCTCATTTAACTTTACCTTCCTTCCGCTGTCTTTTATTATGGAGGGGGCGGTGGGGTGGATGAGGGAGGGGAGGTGGGAGGGTGGCGGTGGGGGAGTGGAGAGCTGTCTGAGGCGCTCTATTGATGACCTCACGGTAGTATGTGGCAGTGCGACGGGACGAAGCCGCTGATTGGTCGCCCGTGTCACAGCGGCACTTCAAAGCCGGAGAGGAGCCTACAATTGTGGAAGAATGGGCGGAACACATCATTGTATTGCACACCTCTAAAAAAACAGTGCTCTGATTCATAAATATAAAAAGATCCTCTGAGGAGGGCTGTGTTTTTGTGTGATGGCAACTTCACTTCTAGGGGTGAGTCTAAAGGACTTTCTTACTGGTTTAATTAGTTCTTGTCATTGTCCTGCGGAGGGGGATTAAACTTACATCGGTCGCAAAGTAGCAGCAAAGCCAGTGCGTTGGTTATATTTCCAGCAAGCGGTTTGTATGATAAAGACGAGGCTCTGTAAACTGCATATAGGCTGAGTTTGGCGGTCATCGGCGCTCAAAACACGCATGTTTTCCCTGCTGTCCCGTTTGGCATGCATTTGTAAGCGCCGTCTGACGCATTTCACTTGTCTACTTTCTGTTCATCCAGGTAGGAAATCAAGATAATCTTCTCTGTTGATTACCAAAACTTAAACAAAAATACAGCTTATTAGTCGTCTGCTGAAAAACAGGGAAACTGTTTCTACTTGAACGCTATTTCCCGATCCGAAAAGAATGCATTAAAATGCCTGTAATTAATCTGTGGAACTTGTAAGTCGCTTACATATTTTCTTGTCCTTTCAGGAGGAGCCGAGGTTAGGATCGACTCCTTTAGCCATGTTAGCTGCAACATGTAACAAAATAGGGAGTCCGAGCCCTTCACCGTCGACAATTTCGGATAACTCCTCGTCATTTGGAAAAGGTTTCCACCCGTGGAAAAGAGCCGCTGCGAGTAGCTGCAGTCTCGGATCCGGCCTGCCCGGTTTCGGGGTATCGCGTAATGGATCTGGCATCTCGGACTCTTTTGGCACCAACAGCTCCACCGGATCCAGTGCCTTTTCCCTCACGTCCGGTACCTCGTCTAGTTCACACTTTGGAAACGATTATTCGGTTTTCCAAGCGTCCGTGTCGAGCAGCTCTCAAGAGTCCAGCCACCAGCCGGTCTTCATCTCAAAAGTGCACACCTCAGTGGACAGTTTGCAGGGCATCTATCCGAGGATGAGCGTTGCGCATCCTTACGAGTCCTGGTTCAAATCGTCTCATCCCGGGATCCCCACGGGAGACGTTGGTACCACCGGAGCCTCTGCATGGTGGGATGTGGGAGCGGGATGGATTGACGTTCAGAACCCTAACGGAGCAGCAATACAGACGTCCTTACATTCCGGTGGACTCCAGACCTCCTTGCACTCTCCCCTGGGCGGATATAACTCTGATTACTCGAGTTTAAGTCACTCTGCTTTCAGTACAAGTCCATCTCCACACCTGTTGACAACCGGCCAACACCTGATGGACGGTTTCAAGCCGGTGTTATCCTCTTATCCCGACACAAGCCCCTCTCCTTTAACCGGGGCAGGAGGGACTATGCTCTCCGGGGGTCCACCTGCGTCTTTAGCGGGGTCTCCGAGGTCATCTGCCCGGCGGTACTCGGGAAGAGCCACCTGCGACTGTCCAAACTGCCAGGAGGCGGAGAGACTGGGACCGGCGGGCGCCAGCCTCCGGAGGAAAGGTCTCCACAGCTGTCACATTCCAGGCTGTGGGAAGGTATACGGGAAAACCTCGCACCTAAAGGCGCATTTGAGGTGGCACACAGGCGAGAGGCCGTTTGTGTGCAACTGGCTCTTTTGCGGAAAAAGGTTCACTCGCTCCGACGAGCTCCAGCGACATTTACGCACACACACAGGGGAGAAGCGATTCGCTTGTCCGGTGTGCAACAAGAGATTTATGCGTAGCGATCACCTGAGTAAACACGTAAAAACTCACAGCGCCGGGGGATCTGCCGGCTCTGGCTCCGGGGGCAGCGGAGGGAAGAGGGGGAGTGATACCGACAGCGAGCACAGTGCACCGGGAAGCCCTCCATGCCATTCCCCAGACCTGTTGCACCCACCTGAGTCTGCCCAGGGAGTAGGCATGAACGGGCTCTAAAAAAAACTCCCCCAGTGAAGTGAAAACTGTAAAACAGCAAAGTGTCGTGATGGAATTGTCCGAGAGGACATGAAAGTGGACATACTTTGGTGCATCATCATTGTCATTTAATGAGAAAATCGGCCTCTATGTTTCTTTGACTCTTTCAAAGTGCTTAAGACGTCCAATTGAATAATTTCATAGCCGTGCCATCAGAAACTTCTCATCTGCGGTGTGAAAGTGTAGTCAAGTCCTTGTGTGACACACTGTGGGAGGGCACGATCAAAACTTTTTATTTTACTTACTGTTTTTCTTTTGCAGCCCGATCCTGAATACGCCTGATGTTTTATTTGTCCGGTATAAGACGCGAAAGACAGAAAACACTGCTGTCAAAATTGTAGGGCCTGAAAAAGTTGAGCAACTGCTATCATGCATATTGTTGAAAACCAAACACTGGCACTTTATTATCGAGCAGGGGAAACTGTTGCTGTCAATGTGGATGGACTGCTCGATAGGAACAAATACCTGTAGAGTATGGCGGTGAGACACGGGAGTGATGATCCCAGTAAATAAAGTGATAAAGGAAGAGCAGGTTTACATATATATATATATATATATATATATCACTGCTATTCTCTTCGCAGCCTACACTATGCGCCAACTTTATCACTAGGCCTGTTGAGGTTACTTAGACTTCGCTGCAAAATGTGTTGTATATAATTACAAATGTAGGTTAGAATAATTACAGCCCAGTGTAAAGGTGAGCAATGTATTTGTCCAGGAGACGATTTTGTATAGGTATTTCTAGCTGTATATGGACTCTAGTAAATATTTGAAAATATACGGAAATGTACTTGGATTTTCTTTGATATGATATAAAATGTATTGTGGGGAGTTATATTTAACCACGACTTTTTCTTGTATTTAGGGATCTATCATTAGGCGCACTTCGAATTTATTTGTAAAGTTTTGAAATCATTTACTGTTTACCCACTCGTTTAATTTAAGTAAGCATGTTGTAAAGTGATTTTAATTTTACAATGATATTTTTTTCTTTCTCTCTCTCTCTCTCTCTCCTTCTCTCTCTTACTCCGAGAATGGCTTTTTATGTGAGCCACTCAATAAAGTCAGTATGAAATCAGAAGCACCTGATCGACTCAGTTTGTCGGATTGCTGAGTCATTAAAAAAATGTAAACGCCTAAAAGAAACTCATAAATTACACTTTGCCTTCATGTTACATTACAAGTCCGTGTGTTTGCTATTAATGTGAAAAACTGTTGAGTTTCGTGATCTCCGTAACGGCCTCCAGCAACACCAGGCCCTTGCTCGCAGCTTAATTTAAATTTCAATAATAAAATGTAACAATTATTAAGAAACGGGGAGAAAATTCAGTGTTATTTAAAAAAAAATCTATTTAGCTTGAAATAAGTCATTATCGTTTAAAAAATCTGTTAAGCAGAAAAATTCAGCCTCTTAACTTTTCTGAGGACGCGGCTTTACCATTAAACCACCGTTTATGATGAGTTAATTTGCGTATAGTAAATACTCGCAGCAACACACTGTAATTAGCATTTTTATTTTGTATTTATCACTACTATTCTTCTTTGTTTCATTCTTTATTTCCATCCAAATCTCCAGTATATTTTCATCCTCAGGTTTTTCCTTCTCACTGGTCATTCTTAAAACACTCGTTTTTCTTCCGTTTTTGTAAATGTTACTAATAAATGCACAGCAGGTTGAGTGCCTACGTTATTTATTTTTGTGTGTAAACATTTAGATCGTCTAATGAGAACAGCGCGCGTTCTTCTGCGGAAAGTTTTGTTTCCCTTCAGGCTGGACTTAATTTGACCTCATTTCAAGTCAGAAAATTACTTAAAATCAAGATTCGAAGCAAAAGCACAAGAAATCTGTAGACTTTTCCATTCAGATGTGCTCATTTACTTTACTTGCCTAACACAGAGACTTTTATTTAATTTAGTTGAACATCGTATTTCATGTCATTACAGCTGAAAATAGAGACCGTCTGTCTTTCTTTTTCTTTTTTCTCTTTCTGGTTTCTGGGTTTAAGGCGTCAAATCTTAAGAGCCGATTGTAACATACAGAGTGCGCACTGACGTAACATTTCCCATCTTCTAAACTGTTTAACAAAAAATAAAAAGTGATGCGTAGGGAAACTAATATAATAAAAACTGAATTATTCTGAGTTTTTTTTTCCTTCGGATCTCTGAGAAACAGCTTAATCTCTAAACTTCAGAAAGGAGGCTTTGAATTTAAAGCTCTGTAGCGCCATCCAGCGCTATTCTGCTCAACCGACAGTATTTAAAGACCAGCCCTGGATCATCCTGATCAGATTTAAACCTCGGATTTCTTTTCACTTCGTAGAAAGCATATTGCGATGCCTTAAGCAATTCTGATATATAATCATATCTGATATTAAAGCATGGTTACATTTATAATTGTTGATGCCAGACCTGATCAAAAGTTTAGCCTCTGATTTCAGCTAATCGTCTAATAATGGAATATGCGCTTTTGTAAGTTTACCCACCTCGTCCTCGTGAAGTGTTACTGAATCTTCAGACAAAGTTTTGACTCGGACAGTTGTAAGACTCCTAAACATACTTTGTACTTGTAAACAAGGTTAAAGTGATCATTAAAAAAATAAAGTCCTTACACTCACAGCTGCTCCGTTTAGCAGTACACGAGGAAAGCTCATCAGAGTGACTGGATATTTTCTGGGTACATCAAGCTCACAGTCTCCAGGTGTTTTGCTGACATGATCTGAAAAAGACTCACAATAGCAAACAGACTCAGTTTCATCTGCTTTTCAATATTATTTTTAAATACTGCCACACTCATTTGCACATTTTCATACAAATAAAGTTGCTCTACTGTGGTCCAAGGATGAAAGAAAAATGAAACAGAGGAGTGCACAAATGATATATCCTGCTTTTACTGAGTTCATGAATCCCCAAAGTGCTTTGGCATGTGGGATTTGAATATAGAGACATTAAATACTACAGCACTTACACAGCTTTAACCAAAGATTTTGTAGCTGATTTATATGTAGCTGGTCTGCTTAATAAATGTTTAGTCAGTCAAATTTCCCTTTAAGCATAAAATGTAGAACCTTTTTTCTTTGTTTTTTAAATTCTGGCTCATTTAGGGTGAAAAGACTTCATGATTCAAATAAAGTAAACCTAAAACTGAGTTTTAAAAAAATAATATCATAATAATAACTAATTTTTAATTAGTTCAGCATTGTATTTGTGGCTTACCATATTACTGCAAGTTAAGTTTATAAAGTGATGCATCTTCTTTTTTTTTTAATTAAAATCGTTTTAAACATTTCAGTCAGAACACAACAGGCTTGTAGTTTTAAAAGCCGCCTCCAAAATAATCTAACCAGCCAAAAAGTGATCAGTTAATATGAGAGACTCATCTCAGCCAAACGTTTCAGTGCACCACTCCGTGTTGTCATACCATTAGCACCTTACTAGACTGTTGTTGCATCGCGTGGTCCTCAGAGGAACGTCCCACCGCTGGCCTCATTTGAATTAAGCTGGCCACAGGAAGTGCACGCATGCCAGGATGAAGAGGATGGGCCTGCCAACTGTGGATGAAGGCCACAATAACAGCTATGGTCAGAGCACACAGTGTGTTGGCAGCCAAGTTTATCGTTGATCCGGTTACCTAGAAAACAGGAAAGAAATAATATTATGCCAATGATGCTAAAAATTAGCATCGATTTATGATTTTAGGGTTGTTTAATGAATCTAAAGCCAAATCTTTTGGAGGATAGATAGATAGATAGATAGATAGATAGATAGATAGATAGATAGATAGATAGATAGATAGATAGATAGATAGATAGATAGATAGATAGATAGAT